GGGAAAGAGGAAAGACATTGAAGAAGAAGAAGAAGAAAAATGTGCAGAAACGGATCTCAGGGTCTCTCTCTTTTTTTTCTTCTTCTGGGAATTATGAAGATGGGTGACATTTTATTGGATAAGGATTTGGATTGTAGAAGAAACACCAAGAAAGACAAAAAGTAGATTGGATCAGCGGTCTGAAAACCATGAGACTGTTTCTCTTTTGTAATAACTACATGATTTTCTTCTTCCTGAAAACTTCCCGTATGTAGTTTGCATGGTCTTCATGATATATATATATATACACACACACACAGGCATACGTGAAGCATCAAACGTAACAATTATACATTCAATTCAAGACGCGTATTTGTGTTGCTGGTTCGATAAGCGCTCTCTGAAATAACAACACATGCTCTAAGTTTTTTTTTAATATTTTCTTATGCTTACAAATATATATACATACATTGATACATACACATATATAAGGTGAAACTTAATAAATATGAGTTGAGTTATATAGGCTTAAAGAACACGTTATAGGAAATAACCACTAAAACCACCGAAATGTTGATGAACGTAAAGAACAGAACATAAGTTTGTAATAGATTCCTTGTTGTTTAGAATCGCACATCTTAGGGGGCATAGATCGAGATTTATTTTGTATAATATTTTACGAAATCGGATCAGTAATTACTATTACAAACATGGATTGATTTGATGGTTGAACTGACCACCATTGTTATGGATCGAAATACGCCATTGTCAAATCAAATGCATGCACATGTACGTACATATTATATATATACACTATATATATATATATTATATGTGACGTTTGTGCGAATGTTTGTGTGATTTGATCTTTGCTGATTTGATTACTAAGTGGATTGATCTAGCGTTGGAAAAGGGAGTGATGATTTTTTTTTCTTGAAGAAACCTTAAAAGAAAAAAAAAACAAAAGAGATGGGAAGTGGAGTTTGTGTAGAGAAAAGTGAAGGCAAAAGGAACTAAAAGGAGAGGGGGACATGAAACAAGTTTAAGTGTTATTAAAAGGCAAATCACATGGTAATGACCAAAACAAAAAAAAACACCATCATGGCTTATTATTATTATTATTATTATTATTATTATTATTATTATTATTATTATTATTATTATTATTATTATTGTTATTATTCATATTATTATTATTGTTATTATTCACATACTGAACATTTGATATACAGGCGGATTTGTTATGAAAAATTAACTACTGATGGTTTTATTATTAGTCATTACATTCAGTTGCCGTTGTGTAGAAATAGTAAGGGACAAAAAAAAACTTATGAACCTAACAATAATCTCATCATCTTCCCTCCATTAACGCACTTGGAACCAAAGTACAAAAACTCACCCAAAAAGGCCAAAAACTTCATACAAATGTATCTTATGATAACAATTAATAAGAATACAGGGACGATGATACATAGCATATATAACAGCAACAACGACAGAAACAGTACATATATATATATTGAGACAGAATGACTCAGAAGAGTGAGTAGAAGCCTGTTTCTGCAAGTACATCTCCAAAAGAAGGAAACTGTGCTGCAGCAGCATTCACAGAGGAGGAAGAAGAAGAAGACAAAGAAGAACAAAAGTCTTGCGACATTACTGCATAATCACCAGCGCCATTGATTTGATTATGAACCTCCATTGACATTGCAGGAGCATTACTATAATTGCTGATCATGGCCGAGAGATCACACGAACCAGACTGATGATGATTATCATTGTCATTAGTATTGTCCCACTGATTCATTAGGGCTTCGCTTTCGGCCAAGTAACGAAACCATCCGTCTGATTCAGAGGCTTTGGTGTCGTTGATGTGTGTCTTTTCGGTGTTTTGCGGCGGTTTCAGACAGTGTCCGGGGACAATGCAATCCAAGTAACCCGAGTTCGAGCTACGTTCTTCGCCGGCTAACGAGAAAAAGTTGTTTTCGTCGTCTAGAGACGAAGACAACGAACCGTTTGAAGAGTTCTGTGGACTCCGGAACGCGAGGTCGGTGGAGTTGGACTGAACCGGCGTTTTGGCAGACGCCGCGGTAGCGGTTTGGTGGAGGGTGTATTTTGGTTCATGGTAATATTGGTGGTGGTGGTGATCGATGACGAACTGTGAAGGAGCGTTTGGCAAAAGGGGTTGGAGATTATTGTAAGGAGAGACGATGAGGGAGTGGAGATTAGGGTTTGTGAGGATGGTGTGAATATCAGTGGGAGTGTAGACGAAGTTGGTTCTGGCTTGAGTGCCTCTCATTGAGAGAGCGGCTCGGTCATAAGCTAGAGCCGCTTCGTGGGCAGTGTCGAACGTCCCGAGCCAGTGACGTTCTTTGGTGGTCGGGTCTCTGATCTCAGCTGCGTAACGGCCCCACGGCCGTCTCCTGACTCCGAGGAACCTCCCCGGCTCGGCCTGCTTCGATCTCCGACCACGTCTCTCTCCGGTGGGAGCTTGTGTTGTGGTGTTGTTTGTTGCGGTTTGGTGAATGAGTGCGAATCCCGTTTGAGTTTGGTTTGTGTCGAAGGTTGTCAAGGGTTTATCTAGGCTTCGGGAGCTTGACATGATCTTGGTTGTGGATGCTATTTTTTAGGGTTTTGAAGATGGTTTTTTTAGCTTGCAAAGTGGTGTGGTGTGGTATGATGAGTAGGTTGTTTCTTTGTAGAAGATGGGTTCTTTGGTAGTGAAAGTGGATGTTATATATAGGGAGACAGGGGAGAGAGAGAGAGAGAGAGAGAGAGAGAGAGAGAGAGAGAGAGAGAGAGAGAGAGAGAGAGAGCGAGAGAGGGCGAGAGAGAGAGAGAGAGAGAGAGAGGAATATGGCAAGAGAATGTGTGTTTGGGAGAGTAGCTTACCTTTTGATTCAACTGCTTTAATTAGAAAATCTTTTGTTTCTATTAGTTTTCGGTTCGGTTTCTTTTCTAGATAATAGCTTGAATTCCAAAGTTGGATGTACATACATACATACATACATACATACATACATACATACATATATATATACACATACATGGATGGCCACTCATTAGAACCGCTGCACATATGGAATGTCACACAATATCCAATACTGATTTAGATTAATGAAAATAAGGAAATAAATATAATGACAAAATTAAGTATATATGAGAAACCTATAGTGATTGAGATCAAGACATCACTTGTTGACATATTACACGTTTTGCAAATTAGACAAACTTATTTAGGATAAATTAATTCCAACAATATATTATTCTTAATGGTGGTCATCATCAAATTAATCTTATGTATGACGTAAAATATTACATCATGCATGCATGCATGCATGTAATAAGAGCAAAAAGGTTAAAATCAATGAGAATTTACGAATTAAAGGAAATGATTTATAAAAAAAAAAGATCTAACAAAACCAAAAACACTATCTAGTGATCACGTGCAATATGCAATGAGCCTACCGCTTTAGCCTCAAGGATCTACATGAAAATGGGCACTTAATGAGAATTCACATATTTAAAAATAATCATGTACGGAGATGATATTTAATCCACGATTAGTGTAGTCACATGCAAATCCCCCGCGTTTTAAGCGAAAAATAGAAACGAGAAAATGAATTTTGTCTCGTTGTAATGTTTTTCAATGGAGTGGTTAAAGAGAGACCATGCAACCAACCACGGCCATAAAAAAAAAAAAACTATGTGTGTTGTGTTGTGGACAATGTGTTCATGTCTTGTTCCATGCAAACAAAAAACTGTATTCATCTTACCCCTCGTGCATGCCCCCACACAAAGTCAAACATCTTTCTTAGACTCTTTCTACTTGTATCTATATATTTTTTAAAAAATAAAAATAAAAACATTGGTGAAATTTTCTTTTTATGATGTGAGAAATTTAAGCATGTCATATATATATATATAATCAAATAATGATGCATTATATATATATATATATATATATATATATATAGTTCCAAATTAGTGAAACCATGTGATTCGATTAATTAATAGTAAATACATTTGGAAACGAGAGAGAGAAGGAGAGAGAGAGAGAGAGAGAGAGAGAGGGAAGAACAAGAAGGGTTTCTTAGAACGCTCGTGGACCTACCAAAAACAAAGGGGTTATAGTCAAAAGGGAAGTGATCGAAAAGCTCAAAAGGTGAATGTGTAGCAAGGCCGGATCAAACTAGCAACAAGGTGGGACACTTCTTCCTATATATTTATTTCATGTTCGAAAAGGGATATATACATATTAATTATACATGTATATATGTATATATGTGTGGGTGTGGGTGTGGGTGTTATAATCAAGAACGTTTAATTAGAAAAAAATAGGTATATAAAACATGTATTTATATTAAATATTGGGTAATCATAAAATCGTTCATGATATATGCGCTGAATCAATCGTTGATCTATTATAATTTATAAACATGACTATGAAAAACAATTATAGCATTATATATGGGCGTGTGTGACACCTAATTGCTGAATCAAGTGTGTTGTATATATGGTACCTTTTGCGAAAATTGAATAATCAATTCATCATATTATACTATATTTGAACGCAAGTTTATTTTTTTCATATAACAAAATGGGCCAACACAAAAAAAAAAGTGAGATGGTCTCCTTGTATTATGGGTTGGAAATGTGATATGTGTTGGTAAAGCTTCTAAATGGCATTGGGAATGAAAAATAACAATTTTATATACTAAAATGGTCAAAAGGTATTTTTAAAGAATCTTAGCTTTTTGTTTTTAAATTTCTTTTAATTTTTGTACTTTTGGCATTTTCTCCTCATTGAGGGGGTTCACCATCATCCTATGAAAAGAAAAATACAAGCATTTAAATTGTGTATATATAGAGCGATTCATAACGTATATAGAAAGTTGTATATCGGAATATAAATTTAAATTTTTTTTAATTATAGGGTGTGTGGATTATTTATTCTTTTTAAATGTATATCGAACTACTAGAAATAAAATGAATTTATTTATCTATTTATGAAAAATAGTACAAGTAATATTAAAACGTATACAAATACAATAGAATGAATTTTACCAATTTTTTTTTGGTGTCCCGGTTAAGCCATTTGGTCATTTTCATCTGATCACCATATCGTATATACCTTAATTGCTCTAACAAAATTACTAAATGGGGTTCTAAACAATGTCGTAAAAGTAAATGCAATGATTAGAATAAAACAAATATATAGATGTTGTAGGGAATTTTTATTTATTGTTTTCCTTTTTTTTTTAAGAATGTCTTAAGCTAAGAATCCCATGACCCTTGACTCCTCCACTGAGATTTGAACTTGACAAGCTTCCATTTGACCATATAACAAATATTTCGAAATAATTTAAATTTTTTAAACCTTGGTTTATAACAATAAAGTAATATAAATTAACTAATCAGTCGGTCGATCCTAATTAATAACGGTGCATTTTGATACGGATAAAATTTCAAATCGTGTATAAATATAGTCAGTAATTTTGCTGGAAGTAAAATTTTCTACATCTGTAATTTACACACATATATATATATATTGAATATTTTTTTAATAAAAATGTTTAATGAGTTAATCCAAAACATGTGGAATTATTGCTACATGTTTGAATTTCCTTTTAAAATTTGGTCTTTTAGAGAGTAATTTGCACTCTTTAACCAACGCTTCACAATCCGCATATTATGATGCAATGTGTCAAGGTCTATGCAATGAATCAACTTTTTTATATAAAAAAAATATTAATGCTACATTTTTTTATCATGACAAAAATTCCAAGATTCTTTTATGGCTTACAATTTTCACGAATAAGAAAAGTTACATATACGAATTTATTTCAGTTCAAACGAAATATATTAATATAGAATTATATCTAAATTAAATGTAGCACAACAATATATTATATATTATTACAAAAGCTAAATAAAGATGATTCTAATAAAAATAGAAAACCCAACTAATTTTTTTTACAATTATACATTTCTCTCAATAAAAGACAAATTTTAAAGCGAAGGATAAAACCAAAATCAAATTAAAAAATAATACAAAAATCGATATATGCTGTATAAAGTAAAAAAAATCGAAATTGAAAAATAAAATAATTGAACCAAATTTCAAAATCTCCAAATTATATATATATGTGTGTGTGTGTGTGTGTAAAGAAGACCGTGGGTTGTGAATCACAGTTGAATGAGCATTGATCAAAATCTCTTTTTTTTTTTAAAAAAAAAATATACTGTTAAAAATGTACAAGATACACAAGGGTGCCTTTTTTTTTTTGGTGAAATATTTACGAGTTATATATGGTCGAGGCCTTCTTGGGTTTAGCAACGAAGAATTTACGCACATATCGAGAGAGAGAGAGAATAAATTCCAAGAGAAAATTCGGAAAGTAAAAAAGGATTTATTATTTTTCTCGTGATTTTAATAAAAAAAAAAGATTGTCAAAAGAACACCCCGGGATTTAGGCAAAAAGGTTGTCTGAGAACGAACTTGGACTTTGACGAGAGTCCAAACAGAATGACCAAAAAAGCTATTCCATTAACTATTATTATTATATCAGATTTAATTATCTATAATACTATAACTATATATATATATATTAATTACGTCAACACATTTAAGATAATGCGTTCGTAATGAATAATAACAATATGTTTGTTTGTATAATTGATTAGGATTTCGCAGTCCAATTCGTACCTATACACACATATTACATTCATGTGTAAAAACAAACCTGGATTTCGATTTTTTTTAAAATGTGTTTGATAATTAAAATTTTTTTAAAAAAAATGATTTCAAATTATAAACCACATAATTGTTGATAAGCTCCTTTCGTTTTTTTTTTTATAAATATTTTTATATTTTTCTTTTTTAAGTCAGGTGGTCAAAACACACACGCGGCACCCTGTGCAACGTCATAAAGCATACTTATTGTCTAAATTAAGTACATGGTCACCATGTGCCATTCTCTCTCTCTCTATATATATATATACACACACATATGTTTGTGGATACATACATATACAATGCTATTTTACAATAGGTAGGTCTTAATTTTCTAAGTTTGGGTGGAGTCCATTCTTGTTTTGCTAAATCGCAATTAGTACATTTTTTGTATCCCAAGAAAATATAATTGACCTTCACCAACTTTAACATTTTGAATATATTCTTATTTGACACATAGTAAAAGTGAAATTTGTGATTGAAAGATAATGTTATTCCATTTATTTCATAAACTCATATACACGCAGTAAAAAAATGTCCTAAATGACTTTGATGAATTAATGAAAGCATGCCACTTGCAAAAAGTGCAGTGTCCATTTCATGATATTTTTGGGACCAAAAAAACAGTTGGATTCTGGGAAGAATTTATAACCAATGAGAATTCGACACGTAAGCTATGAGAAGCCCCACCGAACTTAAGTACTGTCGATGACACGTAAGACACTGTTACAGCACGCGACAACGAGGAGCGTCCAGAGGGGTAGGATGTGGGACCCATATCATGGCGTGTCGAAATCCCAGCGGGGAACTACGTTGTTGAATTGTACGGTCAGGATTCTCCGAAACGAGAGCAAGTGTTGGTGTTGTCGATGTGTCTGGTCAAAAAAATCTTTTATACGGACGGTCTGATGTTGGGATTGGACGGCTGAGATTGAGACTGTCACATCACTCCGCTTTTAGGCCGTACTGGCAAAATCCAAGGCCTCCTCTGGTTTAGTAAACCGGATAAAACCGAATTTCGGTCAAGTCAAATTTAACCGATACTGATAACCAGATCGTACAGAATAGGGCTCGGCCACTCTCCTAGGGTTTTGCATTTCCTGGTTCGCCATTGCCTTCGATTTTAGGGTTTACAGTCTCTGATTGGATTTGGAGTGTAATAACTCTGCTGAGTCGATTAACGTTGTCGGGATTTGCGTGGTTCGAAGATGTACAGCGGCTCTAGCGATGGCGAGAGCCTCGACACCTCGACGCAGAGGAAGATTCCGCCGGCGTCTTCCATGCTTTGGGTTAGAAATTTACGGCCGTACATGGTCCGGTACTGGACTCGGATACGAAGCTCTAATGGGTATCTCCTCATTTTCTCTAATTCTGTCCGTTTTGGTTGTCTGAACTTGGTTTCACCATGCATAAGATCATGTTGAATAATTTTTGCATTTCTACGTTTCGCTCTTACGGTGTTCGAGTATACGAATGCAATTTCACCTTTTGGTGTTAAGTGATGTGTAAAGTGCCGAAATTTGCGGCTCTCTGGAGAAAATGTACCGTTTTTTTTTGTCTCTTAGCAACAAAATGTTCTTGGTTTTGCTGAATTTTCATGGGATTTTTTAGTTGATCGGTCAATAGTTTGGAAAGGGGAGTGATTCTCTGTAAGCTTGGTGTCATTTTCAGGAACATATATACATGGCAATGCTTGCTTGTATTGATTCTCCCCCCTGATATATGTGTCAGGAAAGTGAGGAAGAAGTCACCGACACCGAACAGGCAGAGAATTGGTTCTCTTTGACGTCAGCTCAACGCATATGCAGTGAGATTGCATTCATTTGATCTTCATGCTAATGCCCAGAGATTATAAATCAGAAGCAAATCTTGCTATGTCTTGATTGCTGTTCTTATAATGGATTGCTCCTTCTTCCGTAGATATGTTTCTGACATTTGATAAAGATATGAATGGATCACTGAGTAAGCAAGAGCTCGAAGAATATGCTGCTGATGGGACATTGGCTGAGATTTTCATCGAAAGAGGTAGAACCGAGTGCTTTGATCTTTATGTGCTTTTTTATAGAAATGAAAGCCACCGGTAGTGATCTGACCAAAATCGGTAATAATTCTAGATATGAACTTAGATTATTAATACCAGTGGTGGGATAAAGAAACATTTAAAGGTATCACACTTGGTGTATGTAGTGTTCGATGAGCATTGTCCGGCATGGCAAGAGTAGCGGAGGACATTCCCGAGAGATGGTTTTTTAGAGTTTCCTCAACTTTGTTCTTGCTCTGGAGAATAAAGACATTCCAGAGAGTTTATGTCTGTTCCGCTGTCTCGATCTCCATGGGAGGGGCTTTTTCACTACTGATATTCACTCTCTTTTCAGGTAATATATCTTCTATTATTAAGCTTACCTAATCTTATAAAACTTTTGAAAGTTTCCACGAGATCAAGATTTGGAAGTAAAGAAGGGGAGCATCAAAGAGTTGTGATGTTACCTGATACAATCTTCCCACACAAAACTCTGCAAAATTTCCTGCTCGTGGTAGTTAAGCTTCGTTCCACGAGTCTCGTACCTGCAGAGACATGATTGCTTATATATACACACTCAACCTACGGGGCTCTCTGCTCAACTCTGATCTGATCTTTGTCTTCCCATGTTTACTGCAGAGACGTTCATCAGAAATGGACCAAGGGTGGGTGGAAACTACAAGCTGTGCATAGAGGATGTAAGGGACGAGATCTGGGACATTGTGAAGCCTGTGGACCCGTTAAAGATCACGTTGGCGTGTAAACAGGGTGGGACAGTGGCGAGCAAGCTGATAGACACGAAGGGTTTCTGGGCTCACGACAACTGGGACGAGGAGGAACAACCCCCCCCCCCCCCCCCCGGGGAAGAG